GATTTTTATAAAAACTCAGTTTTTTCAACACCTATAGCTGAAAAACCGCAGTTTTCTGGAAACCTAACTTGCGAGCGTTTTGGAGAAAACTTTCTAGAGACAAAAAGAAAGAGCACGTCGAGAAACCTTTATAAACCAAGAGACAGCTCAATATGTTCAGCCGTTATCAAGATGATTTTCTCATGCAACGCGCCTATTCGACGAGCATGTGCCTGTACAATTATGTTACAAGGAGAGCGAGAGCAAGGGGAGAGACGTGCACATGTTACATACACACGCACTGATTAAGACTGTTTCCATTTGATACACACATGTCTTGAAAAAATAACCCTATAGACGAATTTTTTTCAATTGAAAATAAAGTTATCGTGCATGTGTGTTAAACGAGATTGCGCTCTTTTTCTCGCTTAATCGTTGGAAAATGTTAGACCGCAATCTGTTCATATAGTTTAAAAACTTCTGATTTGAGCTCAAGGAAATAATGTTTAGAACTTTCAATGCAGCTGAGCACAAACACAAGAGATATGTTAAGCGATTAGTTACACAGAGAAAAATAAATTAGTCTAAATTTGCTTTTAGTCATCAGTTTCCCTTTCCAAAGTACTTAATCCTCGATAATAAAAAACTAAATATACTTTTTCTAGTTTACTAAAAATATATTCTATTTTTATTTAAACAAATACAGAAAAACTAAATTTCAAACTATACTCCGCTAGTTCAAATAATTTCAAATTTTGCACGTGTCACTATAATTTCAAAAAATCTCATATTCGAATCAGAGATAATGTTAGCTATTATATACAAAAATTAGACAAGTAACAATGTGTTTGTCCTTCTTTTAGATTATTGTCGACTTACATTGATTTGATAAATTTTTATCTTCTAATTCATAATTTTCATTTATTTTTATTCTTTTGCAAATCAAAAAAATATTTATATGTATTAAACATGAAAACCTATAATTTTCGGATTAATCGACCCAAACTTGGTGATGGATTCTTTACAAAACTTCATCTGAGAGAATTCTCAGATGATCAAATTATTCAATCAAAAACAAAAGCTTCACCAAAAACAAGATGGCTCCGTGGTATTGCTGGTCACATACAACAAGTTATCTTTCGAGCAACAGCTGACCGCGCCAAAGGTCAAAAACGTATTGGAAAAATTGCTCTCTCCAATGCTGCTGTTGTAGCATCATTAGAACAGATTGGAATTACAAACAAATGGGTGGCTTGTCCTGATATAATTCAACTGCTCAATCTTCATACATCATTTATCAAGGGAGAGTATATGAAAAAAGCAAGTAGAATTGAATTCAAACAGGTTCAAAAAATATTTCACTATTTTGATAATCAAAATAGATCTTGCCAAACACAGATTGCAAATTTCTTATTTTTTCGATTTCTCAAAGAGACGGTTCTTGTACAGCACATGAATTAATATTGTCTTTTTCCTTGTCGTACACATAGATTTCTACAGTTACATCTATCAAACGGATGCTTCCATAGCACTTCTTACTTAGCTCTCCTCTTTAAAATGTACGCCTAAAAAGAAAATATAAAAGATAGAAAAAGATATTAGAAAAAAAAATGCTCTTATATATGTTTGTTTTTTATTGTTCATACATGTTTTTTTATTGTCTGTTTTCTGAAACAAATACACCATTATTATTTTCTATTTGTACGTTGAAAATATAATTTTCAAATCCAACGAAAAGATAATACATTTTTTTTTATTTAATACTATTTGGTCTTTCTTTTTTTTGCTATGCATGTAAAAAGATCTTCTTATTATTTGTCAAGAATCAGATTGGTACTTTCCGATGGTACGTGCAAATGAAAATCAACGGATCCTGACCCTTTTATGTCATATCATGAATTGCTACTCAATTTTACTTAGACTGCAATTAAATGTCTATCTAAGTTTGAGTTTGTGTTCACATTGATGGTATTTAAGGAGAAGGATGAATTCACCGAAAACAAGATTCAAAATAAAAAAAAAATAAAAAACTTTTCAAATTTTCTTATGTTTCATTTTATTTATTTTAGTGATATAGATTTTAGTCTTTTTAAATGAAAAATATATGAAATGAGTATTTTCTATTTCATCATTGTTCAATATATAATTAAACAGAAATCGATATTTCATAAATAAGATAAGTATCTATTGAATCAATTTATACATTAATATTTTTGAACTTCAATAATTATTGATTTGATATTTCTGTTCTTTTTCTTTTATTGTAGTGAACTTGACATGTATGGAAACAATGATAAAGAAAATGAATAAATTTTTACATCAACTACTCAATTTCTGATCGTTTTATTAAAATTATAGTTTTTAGTTTATTTGACTTCTTACTTTAAATATGTCTAGTGTAAATTTCAATAAAATACTTTAAAATAATTATAAAATAATAAAATAATTATTGAATATAAAGCAAAAAACAGAATTAAATAAGATAAAATTTCAAGTATAAAAGATAAATTTCTACTATGTTCTGTATAGATTGAATACGAATCATATACAGAAAGACTAGCAATAATGTATATGATATTGAGAACATGTGCTTTTCTTTTTTTCTCATGCAGTGACCTAGCAAGTATATAAATAATTAATAAGAAAAAAACAAGAAATCTAAGATCCTATTTAATAACACAATGAAGATTCATAATCAACATCAAGCTATTGAGTTGTATATGAAATTAAGTTAGAGAGAGAAAGATTGTTTTCTTAAATAATTAAAAAAGAATTGGTAA